GCCAACTTCGGACCGACTCTCACAGGAGCTTAGGGTAAATTTCATACTAAATTTACATTCTAGGCTCATACTTATTCCCTCTGTATAACTTGAAGAAGTCTATTGGAAGTTATCGCAAGAAAACATGGAAAGTGTAGAATTCTTGACTTGTGTGTGTAATCCAATGGTGATCATTTTAGTTTACTGCTGGAAGAGTGTAATACACAAGGGTCTGCTTTTGCAAAGGTTGTTCTGGTTGCTGAGAGGGCATGTCTTGGAGAAATTGCACTGATCAATTTCTTTGCTCCTCTGTGCTTGAGTAAAAAAAATCTGATTGATTTTTCTCTACTCTTCAATCTACCTGATTTGTTTAAAAGGTGTTTTTCTACGTGATAAAGACACTGAATCAATTTTTCTTTGATACATAGGGAAGCTTTTTGGACCAGACATAAAGCATAGTGCAAGTAGTAGATAAAGCACATTCTGCTTAATTTTACTATAAGTACATCTACTGCCTCTTTGCTGTTGTGGTTTTTATTTCTGGTGGTAGATGACCCTTGATCATATAAAGGCAGTGGAGTGCTTAAGACTGTGAGTAGAGAGGTGCTTACACAAATCAAGGGTTCTCTTTGAAGTTTGTCAGCTTTACTTAAAGGAAAGTACGTACTAGAAAATACATTAGACGTTTACTAAGTAAATGTAGTTTGTTTGAAGCATGGGTGATGCTAGCATGTCAGTACAAATTTCTTTAAACTCTACATATAGTTCAGTACAGAGTGTTGTGACTGGTCAGAAGGCATCATACTGAAGCACTCATCAGCATAGGAAAAATATGCTAGACCTCTGAATGAGATGTGGGGGTGTGTCTTGAGAGTGTAAATGAGGTGATATTTAAGTTTGTGAAGGGAAACAAAATTTCTAAGCTAGTCTTGGCACAGCAAAAAAAGAGAAGGATCTCAAATGTTACCTATCTTTGAGTGTTCCAGGCAGGAAACTTATGAAAAGTCTCTGGTTGATTTTTCTGTGCATTTTCTTTGTCCCATCTTCTGGTTTCTTTTTTGAGAAACCTTCTGGTAGGAAGTTTTTCTTCCGGAAGTTGCTTCTAAAAATGCAGCTAGTTACAAGTGTATCTACTGCATGATTCAAGTTACAGAATTACTTTCAGGAACTCTTGGATTTCAATAAAGTTGTATCTCTTTAAACATGAGGTGATGCTTCAGTAAATGTGCGGTGCTGCAGTACAAAGCACAGATGTTCATTGTGTGCCCAAATCACTCCTGAATGTGTTCTGGTTTTTGCATGACAGAACATGAAGAGCCTGTGAAGTCTGAGAGAAAGTCAGCAAAGGGAAGAAAAAAAAAAAAA